GCTAGGGAAACCATTATGTCAATGAAGGTCTTCACTAAGATAGCTGAACAGGCTTGTGTGTGTGTGTGTGTGTGTGTGTGTGTGTGTGTGTGTGTATGTGTGTGTGTGTGTGTGTGAGATAAAAAGTGCTTAAACTGCACAGAATAAAATGCTTTATGAAACTGTATGTGAATGGGTAAACATGACTTGTTTACCCATTCACACATGAAAATACAGGCCATTTGTACTGTAGAAACACGTTAAGTGCTTAATATGATTGGAAAACGTCATATAGATGCCTGTCTACTCTATATTGATGAAAACTGTTTGCATGACTGATATTACTGATGATTACTTATCCCTGTATGGCATAACAATTTACAGAAAGTTGAGTTTTTTTTAAGCTTACAAAGGATTAGTATATGCACATATATTTACATAAAGATCTCTCTGTATCGGAGAGGGTCTTCTTTCACACTCCAGCTGTTCTGCATGATATTCCAGACCAAATTGGTGGATTATTTGCTGCTTGGGTTAATGTTATTTAGTTTGTTAACATCTGCAGTAACTGCTTGTGTGATATGCCTCTCACTGCTTGAAATGCTGTGCTCCAGTTCCTCTTCTTCTCCATCTATTCTCTTCGCAGCTTTCATTTGTTCGGGGTGTAGACTAGCAATTTGATTTTCAGTAGCTGAAACACTGGGACACTTTTTAGTGTGGGGCATTTTAAATTAACACATGTATTTAAGCAGCTTGAAAAGCTATTGTAGCAGCTTGAAAAAAACATGTTCATGTTACTTCTGCTACTCTTTATTATAATTAAAATGTTTATTTGTTCTTATTTGAATAAAGTTATAACATCAAAATGCTTCATGAACAAAGCATCTCATTATACAATGTTGATAAAATGTGCACACTTTTTGTTTTCATCGATTTATGATAATGATCAACAACATGAGATTTGATGTCTATATTCTCTCTGTGTCTGTCTGCAGGAGTGACAACTGTCCTGACCATGACCACACTGAGTATCAGTGCCAGGAACTCTCTCCCTAAAGTGGCCTATGCCACAGCTATGGATTGGTTCATTGCTGTCTGCTATGCCTTTGTCTTCTCAGCCCTCATTGAGTTTGCAACAGTCAACTACTTCACCAAGAGGGGTTACGCTTGGGATGGAAAAAGTGTGGTGCCAGAGAAGGTATTTGACCCTTTTTAAAAATGGCCTTACTTATTTAAAGTGTGCTTTTATTATAATAAAAACATTTTTTTAAAAGCATTACCACTGGTATCAGTACATAGGAAAACCTTACCATGTTACCGTCCTCTAATGTTTTTTAAAAACCCAAACAAGCAAAATATGAACATTAAAGTGTTTATTTTATTATTATTTTTTTGCACCAGCACATCACTTAACTTCTGATGGAACTGCATCAAGCAGGGAACATTTAATTATTGTCATCTAATAGAAAATGCAATTTGAGTAACATGACATGAACATTAATAGTTTAGTGTTCAGCTTGTGCTTTTCTGCTCTACTTGTCTCTGTGCTGCAGTTAGCAACAACATACTCTGCAGTCTCCGGGTGTTTTTAAAAAGGCCCAATGCTGATTATAAAGATGTTATATTTCTGACATTAAAGCTTTCATTTGGATATATGCCAATGAGAGCAATTAATATTTCCCAATTAAATACCTATTTAAACCCAGTTTGATTCACCGGGGTTTTGCATGCAACAGTGAATAGTGGTAGTTTGGGAAAGGATACAATAGCAGTGTGCGCAGTATTGCATCTCACAAAAAATGAACTCTTTATCCTTTTGCCTTTCTCCGACAAACAAATCAGCAAAAGAAAAAGAAGGAATCTCTCCTTAAGAAGAACAACACTACGGCCTACCCAGCTGCCACTGCTACAGCCTTCGCCCCCAATATTGCCAGGGACCCTGGATTGGCTACTATCGCTAAAAGCGCCCCACCACCCCCAACTGAGCCTAAGGAGGAGCCAAAGCCCAAGCCTCCAGAGGCCAAGAAGACCTTTAACAGTGTGAGCAAGATAGACAGGATTGCCAGAATAGCCTTCCCTCTGCTCTTTGGAACCTTTAACTTGGTCTACTGGGCGACCTACTTGAATAAGAAGCCCAAATTGCAGGGGGCCAATCCACACTAATCAAGTTTTTCATTCCTTTTAAACTATACCTGTAATTATTTCATTTTCTTATTCCTATAAACAGTGTTTATTTTCAGACAACATGGTGTCCATGCTGGTTTCCAATTCCCAGTTGTTGCATTGCTTCTATGTTGAACAAAATTTTGAAGATTTTGAAAAAACAAAATATAGGAAAAAAAAATGAAAACAATACAAACTTTTGAAAGAGTGTTGTTCAGGTCTGGGATGATGCTACTAGGAAAATGCTACTTTAAATATATAGCCAAGAGAATGCTATTCTACAACTGCACATAGCCCAAACTTGTTGAGAGGCATGTTTTTGTTGATTTATTTGTTACCTTTTATTTGATTCTACTTCCTTTAAACATGGAATCACAGATACAGTGGGCATTTGTGTATATGCATGGACAGGACATCTTATAATTTGTATTTATTTATTCAAAATACAACTCATCATTGACTGTTGGCTTGGTTTATTTGACATCAGCAGCAAAATGCTACAGTCAGTCTCTTTCCAAATATCTTCCATTGTTTGTAGACGTTTTATGAGCCTAATTATACCATTCTCCATAATATGTTAGGATTTCTGCAATAGCAATAAAACATGTCTCAGTGGACACACCATTTATTTAGAGATCAAAAGATACAAAGATTCAATCATGGTTGTGATCAACATTGAAAAAAATATAGTAAGTTATTTTCACAGCATTGTAAATATCAGGTGTTACAGATGTCAGTATTATGTTTAGGCTTTGCAAAGTGTAACTAAAGGGTAATTGTACACATGGAGAGAAAATAATTTTTTGGATTAATTTGTTTTTGTTTCCTCTTTATGATACTTTCTACAAAAAAAGAGTATATACTGGTCTAATTCATGCTTAAGTGACTGTTTTTCACCAAGTTAATGTTCCATTCAAAGCTGCTTTTACATTGGATTAAAATATTAAACTGTGTGCTTGTGTACACATTGACAGCAACAACATCAACAACAAAATCAGTGGTAAACTGACATTGGCTAGTTATGAATAAGAATGTAAAAAAAAATATATCACAAATCATGGAGTGCATTAGATTTAGAAATAAAACACTCATTACCTATGTATATTTGTTTTTGTTTTTTGGGGCTTTTGACTACTTATGGTGGGGCCTCCTTTGTCAGAAACACCATTGGTAGGAAAGTTCTGTTAGCATCAATTGAAAAAAAGGGGCAGGGGCACATTGAGAGGGAGAAGTGCCTTTTCCATTTTCAGAGTTGAAGCTGTGAAGGCTGTTACTTTGGCGATTGACGGCACATCTGTATTTTCCATCCCACTGTGTCCCCTGACCATTTTTACCATATTCACCCCCATCCCCATTCAGTTAAATATTGAGACATAACACTCAGAAAGTACCAGCTACACTGCCTTCAGTATCACATGCCCGTTAGGACTCATTTGTTGCTGCTTGTCGGTGTGCAACAGCGAGAGACAGGGACAGAGACAGAAAGGGACAAAAGAGAAAGGAGACATTTAGGTGAAGTGGCATTGTAAGCTTACTTTAGCCAGCGCTGTGTTTCACACAGAGGAATTGTCTTGTAGTTCTACGATAGTGACAAAGATGAATCTATTTTTGTAGCATGATGTCAATCCCTCTTCCGAGAAAAACCAACAGAAATTAACGCCAGTGTGAAAAGAATGCTTTTGTTTTTGTATTGAAAATTGCTTGCTACCTTCATTTCTTTAAAAAACACACACTCTTTAGGGAAATACACCTTCTCTGACGTGGCATGTTAAGGTTTCTGAACAGTCCAATTTAAATTATGTTAATGTAGCAATATTAATTAGCAAGGGCTTTTCTTAGGACCTGAACCTGACACTCAGTCTGGAGTTGATATCCATTGTAGCTTTACACTGACCCCTCTCTACTTGTAGTTTCATTTGTATGCTGTACTTGGAAATTTATTCTATTTAGATTTTGTTAAAGAAAACAGGCATCGCATTGTGTGTCCATGCTGGGTTCTAAAGCCTTTGGCTCGCACTCAAACTGTGTTTGATGAAGAATCAAGAGTGCTGGTGCATTGCGTCATATTACTGATTCAATGTCTTTTGCTGAATATATTTTACAGGGCACTAAACAGGCCAAAGGGCAAATTAGAACTGTGCAGAATTCTCTGTGTGTTGTGCACTAAGGTGAAAAGATCATGTCACTACCAGAGGGAATCAAAAAGAGATTGGTTGCTGTTGCTATTGTCATTATTTGCATTATCATCATAACCAATATGGAATCTATCCCCTTATAGCAGACATCTTTACAAGCATATGCAAGCAGTCTACTGTTCACAGCCACTTAACCTACAAGCAGAGGGTCATGGAACTGCAAAGTTCAGGGTGAAGAGTTGTATAAAGATATTTGAATTCTAAACTATTGTATGTATGTTTAATATCATAAAGAAAATCTATATATATATATATACATATGTAAAATACTTAATGCATATAGTATTTGATTCTATCAATGACGATATTAGCTAAGATGATGATGAATATTGTTTGTATTATCAACCTATTGTTATGCATTTTGCACATTTAGAACAATAACATTACATTTATGTAGTCAGCTTCGTGCTATGCAAGGACAGCTTTCAACCACATCACTGACCTTCTTTCCCTGACCATTGTGCTTCAGATTTACAAGCTATTACTACAAAAAAAGGAAAAAAGCTTAGCTTTTATATCAGCTGTGCACCCATTAGCATTTTTTCTTCTTTTTTTTCTCTAACCATGGCTATACAGGGTGACATCAAAGAAAACAGTGGATTATCTCTTTTGTTAGCGCTTTGGATTTGTCAGTGGTTGAAGGAAAAATGGCTTTCATTGTTGATTGCACTTTTTCTCCAGAGACATGCAATAAAGTGATTGAACTGGAAAACCAGGAGCAAAACCGTAACCTTGTTAATAACATTTCTGTTAAGTTCTTGAGCTTATTTGTCATTCTAAAAATGGAGGCGGGTGAAAATGTTACTTTACTAAATAGATCATTTTGTTTATCTTTTGCTTTCCAAAGCTCAGTGATATTACAGGAAGCAACAGTGAGTTTTGTTTCAAGTTTGTAAAGCCCCAAGTTCTACTCCAAGCAGAATGAAACAAAGGATCATTTCCAAATATTTTTGAGCGTGGTCTGTCTAGGTAATGCTCCAGAGAGAATGTGATATATGAGGCACAGTGCAATCATGAGCTTCCAACCTTTACCCTTACACTCATAGGCAGAGCATACATGTAAATATCACATCGGTAGGCACATCAGTCATTGATTTCATTGTTCGATGCAGTTCTCAGCAGCACTTGCTGTTCAACATTGAGTCTTTGGTTATTCCTAGATACCTACTGGAGTTTTTCTTGTATTTTTATCAAACAAAATATGTTCTGATTTTCACTGAAATGTAAAAAAAAATAATTTTCTAAAGCACAAAAGTTGACTAGGGTAGAAGAGATAAGAATGACACTGTATACATATGGACATCAAAGAACAAACACAAAACGCACACAAGCTCACAAACCTACATACAGTTCATGCTGGCAGTTCAATGATACTGACAAAAGGTTCTGGTGGATGTAGATGAACTGGTGAATCTTCTGTAAATGTTTTGTTTCTTTTGGTTATGATATGGCCCTGTAAAATCTGATTCTCTGCATTAGTCTTTAAATAAAAAGAAAACAAACTAATGTCATGGCTATACTTCTGTCTCTGTGCTATGTGCCACCTGACCAAGGCTGTGATAGATTTTAAAAGTTAGACCTTGTTTTTGAGTTTTTAATTAATCATAAGAAACATTCTCCTGATCATAATTAATAAGATATAGAAATAAATAGACTGTGTATGATAACTGGCATCTGGTATCGGGCATGTGAAGAAATCTGAATGATTCAATTTTTGAGCTAAATGCCATTTAGATGATACCTGTGGGAAAGAAGGGTTACGTTAGCTTTATGTGGACAAGAGGGCAGAGGGATAGAAGGTGGGACCTCACCTAAAGGGATTGGTGCACAGGTGATTTTTGTTTATGTTGGCAGTTTACTGTTTGGACTTCATCTGGATTTACAAGATCCAAAGAAGACTTGCTCTTAGATGACTAAATGCGGCAGGATATCACAAGCTATGAAGATTTGTTCCAACCATATAAAGTGAGTGTAACTCTCCCACGGGCAGAATAACTCATAACACACCTCATTTATTCAATTAGTTGCACCACAGACAGGATCGGTCAGGAGACCTCGGACAGCTGAGCTGTTACGCACAGAGTCACAGTTTTCAGCTTAAATCATTTGTTACGCAGCAGCTGTCTTCTGAGTCTCAGCCCCGATCACAGCTCTTAGGACATTTTAAGCCTGATCCATTTTGCTAATATCAAAAATACATATTTTTTGCAGTAGTTTCAGCAGTTTATATTAGAAAAAATGGCGATAGATAGATAG